ATCCACCTAAAACTATGAGACACCCACGCTCCACCCTTTAGCCCTTCCATATTCATATCTCCAAAAACTAACTGTCTCCTCCCACGATGTCTTTTAACTTTGCTAATGGCTGAGACTTTTTCCCACTAAGACCAATTCACCCCTTCCTCAAAGGCCATCTCTCTATCCACCCTGATAGCTTCTGCCTCCGATTATCACTATAAAAACCGCGGTAATCCGCCTCCGCGACACACTACTTCTACTTCTGCCATTACTTCTATTCTGAGAGACAGGAAAAAGAGCAGACTCACATTCACTTAGATTCTAGATTCAAAAGTTATACCTGTAAAAACGCGTCCTTAGACTCAAATTCGTCTTCGGTTTTGTTTCGGCACTATATATACTCTTACGTCCTCTGTCTTATTTTTTTTGGGGACAAAAATAAAAATTTAGAATCAGTGCTATTGTGCCATAATTGGACAATTTGAAGGGAGTCGTACAACCCATCCCAACCTACAGAGCAGGAGCCGCCTATCAACCGTTATATCTTGTTCATTTCTCGCATCCCAGGAATCACCAGTAAGTTACATTTTCTTTGCTTACTAACTCTTTACTCATATTCCTTCCTTTTTTTTTTATTATTTCCTCCTTCTTTCACTTCTCATACACACACACATACACATACACAGTCATTCATCAATTGTATTAAACCGCGCCGTAATTAATTTTGTTATTATACTCATTTTAATAAATCTGTTTATATTTCATTTTTTTCCAATTGATTTCAAAATCACATATACCCTTCCAACAGTCAACTCATGGTCCTATCCCCGGTAAAGGGATTCGCGTCCCTGACCGAAAAACGGACCGCTCGTCGTACGTCGGTGCCCGAGTAAAGGGACCCGTCGTGTGAACGGGTTCCTGACCCGTTCACTGACACGCGTGTACGAACGAGGTTCGCCTTACTCGCGAACGAAAGGGTTGCGTTCCTCCTCTAGGACGTAACATACCAAAATTTTGGGGGCTCGTCCGGGATGATAAGAGTGACTGTTGAAAAGGGGTATGAATACGCGGTCTAAATCTGATAAAGACGAGGTGGAAAAAACTTTCCGCGGAGCTGTCGAGAATACACCACTTCGTCGTCCTCGCGAGTTAGAATCATCGGAACAACCTCAACATACATCTATACCATTCGTGCCACACAACCAACAAACTATCACTAATACCACTGAAACATTTCCTGCTCCTACATCTGACGTCGATACTTCAACTATCCGGAAAATTTTGAGTGATAGCCCACTTTCTCTCAGCGCATTTGGTATAACTCATTCACCTCAAAGAACTAATAAACCCCCGAGTCCTATCGCAGAAGTATCTGTCGAAGAAACTAGTTTTTGCGCTGAACCTACGCAGTATAAATCTTTTTATAATTCCTTATATTCTTTCCGTCTAGTTGTCACAGAAAGTGAAATTGATCCCAGCAGTAAACTTACGGTAAAAGATCTTACGGAACAAGGCAATCATAGAGAACAATCTAATTTAGAACTTATTACAACCACAGAAACCATGAACGATAACGTAGTAACAAATAACTCTTCCGCTACTTTACGATATGCCGTAGAGGCTGTTCCTTTCTTTGATGGTCAAAATCTACCTGTAGAATATTTTATAGAAGGATGCGAATTAGCAAAGTCCATGTTACCGCCCGAGAACGAAAAATATTTGACTAAAATAATTCAAACTAGATTAACTGGCGCGCTCATTCTGTACAAGACCGGGATTTCTCGCGGATTAATCAATTAACAAATTTTTTGAAACATGTATACGGCTCTTCTAAAAGCTTAATGCAATTACAAGTTGAATTAGGGCGAAATTACCAACGGGCCGGTGAAACGGTACTTACATATGCAAACAGAACGAAAGCAATGGGCAAACGTATATTAGAAGCACACCGAACCACGAATAACGGAGCAACAGATCACTCTTATGAAACGTTATTAGAAAATGAATTGGTTCATAGTTTTATCAGAGGGCTGAAGCCCGAAATAGAGCAAACAATTGCCAGAAATTTAGATGTAACCGCAACTGTAGAAGAAGCTTTAAGAATTGAAAAAGAATTACGGGATATTTTCGAAATACGAGGGTTGCAAGGTTTTCAAGTCAATACAGATTTGTGTCAAATATGTAAAAAATCCGGTCACACAGCAGATAAATGTAACCTAATATTACAAAATACAACAAAATCCTTGGGGACCGAAATCTTAGTCCGCCAAATTTGCAAAAAACGGTCATTGTGCAGATAAATGTAGATTCCGAGAAGCTATCGGACAAAAGCCGATAAAAATTGTACAAAGCGATTTCGTCTCATGCCAAATATGCTCTAAACCCGGTCATACTGTTCAAAATTGCCGTTCACTTAATCAGCAGGTTATATGCCAAAATTGCCAGAGACCTGGTCACGTCTTTAGAGATTGTAGAGGTAATTCCTCTAATTTTACTAATATTATTTGTCAAATGTGCAATAAACCAGATCACAACGCGAAAAATTGTTATTCAAATCTTAATCGGAATAATATCCCTAATAACGAGGTATGTAAATGGTGTGGGCGACGTGAACATCAAGCATCTCAATGTAGAGAAAGACAAATTATTAATAGAAATTCTCCGAGAAATAACGTCCAAATTATTTGTGAAATCTGCAATAGAACGGGATATAGTGCTCGTAATTGTCGCGAAAATCGGTTATCAGAAAATACTTCCAATCCTACAACACAAGATTTAGCAAACCAATGTATTGCAAGATAGATATTGCAAGGAAACGGGGCACACAATAGAAAATTGCATTTTGAGAATCGAAAATAATCATAAGAAACAGGGAAACTTTCAAAGGTCCCCGACGGAGGGCGCGAACCGAGGTGCCGACGGATCGGGGCGCCCAGTGATGACTGCACTAACAGAAAACACAATAATCGAGCTCCAATAATTAGACCGGTAGAAATTAATTTGAATAAAGAAAGCTGCGTGCCTACTGTTCAGTTAAGTTCAAATGGAAATAGTTATTTTGAAACTTTTATGTTAGATACGGGATCGGGACCCAACCTTATTAAAGAAGCTCGCATTTCAGGAACTCCAGACTTAGATTCAACGCATATATTAAAATTAAACGGAATTAATAATTCACCCGTGTACACTATCGGAAAAATTACTAAGATAATTTTGGGAATTCCTGTCGACTTTCATGTAATTTCCGATGATTTTCCTATTCAATCTTGTGGGATATTAGGCAACGACTTTTTTCAACAAACTAAAGCTAAAATTGATTATTCAAAAGGTCACTTAGAAGTCAACCACTAAAATTCCTTTTTATTCACAAGAATCTGTAATAATTCCTGCGCACTCTAAAGCATTGTTTTTCGTCCGATTTCGCATCGGAAATCCGCATATTAAAGAGGGATATTTACCCAAGATAACTATAGGAAAAGGTGTAGAAGTAGAATCAACCGGCTTAATAAAAAATATTGACGGTAAGGCTTACACTAACGTAATTAATTCTTTGGATACTGAGATAGAAATATTAATACCAACTATCAATATACGACCCGCGATTTTAAAGGATAACGAGAAAGATAACGATATTAAAGATGGAAATTGTTTCGTATGGAAGAAGCGAGTGCGTGAACTCGGTGTATAAAAACAAACTCTCGAGATAATCTAAATTTCACGCTTCTGGAAGTTTCTCGAGAGGATGCCGTGATTTGCAAGAAGTGCTTCCAAATAATGCTAATATCGACGCTTCGATGTCACATTACGAGTTGTTGTTGTTCCATTTCTTATGAACAGCTAACAATGTAACCTAGTTGGCCGAGCCTAGCTCGTGTACATTCGTCAAAACAATAGCATCCAATGCTGATTGGAATACTGATTAAAAACTTGAGCACAAGACATTGTTTTCTTTCATGTGACATCGAAGGACGGTCGTATTCGTTACTCTTCAAGTCTGAACGTGAATTCAGATTAAACCAATCCCGCTCGAACACGGTTGGTTTTTCGCGAACTATAAATATTAAGGCTAAGGCGATCCGAGGAGACAACGTCGTCATTCTTGACACACAAGTCCGGTACACCGCAGCGCTAAGTTAGGAGTTTCCCACTCTCTATCCGGATTCTCGCAAGATACTCACCTTTTTTGTTGATTATTAAACAAGCTGTTTTTAAGAAAATAAATCTAGTAATTCGAACCTCCTGTACCGTATCCAAACGCATTTTATTGCAACTTTCTGTCGCGTGGGAATCAGCGACATTTTATTGCACGTGTCGAACGTTCACCACTTTGCAACCGATCAACGAAGAGCTTCTGTTTCAACGCAGCGAAGAAGCCATTATCATCATTTAATTCGAGGCAAGAAGGTAACGTCTGATACAGAAATATTGAGAATAATAGAGATAACGAAAAACCTAAAGATAAAGGGGAACATATTCTTGACCGCGAAGAAAGAGAACCACGAAATGCGGCATCATGCGACGGCCAAGGTACATTTAATTATATACATATTAACTCACCGGAGGAAAATCGCAACCCCTGTCGAATCAAGAAATGTTGAAAACAAAAATTTTGAAAAGGGGAATCAATCTCAACTTCCCCGCCTAGTGACGAAAATTCAGAATAAGAAGCAAGGAGCGACCTTCCATGCTCCTATTAAACAAAAAGAAAAAATTAATCAACAAAAAATGTTCGAATCGACTCTTCTTGTAGGATTAGGCAAAGGCTTAGATAAGATTTCAAGGGAAAATTCCCAATTCTCCTATCCAAACCACGATCCTTCCGACTAAGGGGACAATTTCCAGATTCCTCGTCCAAGGGAGAAAGTGGGTAACCAGGAGGAAAAATCTCTTGAAATATATAATAACTCTTAGGAAAATACTCTAAAAACTAATGAAAGTATATATTATCGAAGAAGAGTCACATGATAAAATACAATCGCATTATCCAGAATATAATTTCTCAAATGTAACTGAAAAGATATGTACAAAATTTAATGAAACTCAAGAGGGAGTATTTAAGGCTTCCTATGAAAATGTTAAAACTCAAAAAATTAAAAAATGCAATGAGAATTATACAGATAGAAATGAAAATATTATAAATGATGCTAACTGTGTGCCAGTAATTGATCTTTCAATTTTCCCTCGTAACCATGAATCTTTACAATCTTCCGACCAAAATAATGCAATTGAATTTAAATGTAATCACGCTTCTAATAACAATACGACAGTTCTAGCTCTCCCAGTCTCAACTACAAATGCTGGTAAGCCTGCAGCAGCCGATTTCTTGACGAACGGACGAAACATTGACACGACTCAACGATACGACGGAACAAAACAACAGTGCGATATAGACACTGCCACTTATCTCAATAACAATTTCATTGATTCAAAGTTGCATACAAACGTTCTCCAAATAAATTCAACCGACAACCATGATGACGAACGATTAGACAGACTATTTGACCTAATGGATTTTAACCATTTAAATAAAAACGAAATTAGGAGCATAATTGCATTAATACAATCTTATCAAGATTGCTTCTATTTGCCTGGAGAACAACTGACTTCGACGCACGTACTGCAACATCGCATACCGACTATAGACGAATATCCAATTAATACAAAACAATATAGATTTCCTCAAACTCACAAACAAGAAATTGACAAACAAGTACAAGAACTATTAGCCAATAGTATTATTCGGCCTTCTCAATCGCCGTATAATACTCCAATTTGGATTGTACCCAAAAAGACAGATCAATTGGGCAATAAGCGATGGCGTATGGTATTGGATTTTCGTTTATTAAATGATAAAACTATTGGAGACGCTTATCCGTTACCTAATATAATCGACATCCTAGATCAACTCGGTGGAGCTCAATATTTTTCTGTATTTGATTTAGCTTCAGGATTCCATCAAATTGAAATGGATCCTCGCGATAGACATAAAACCGCGTTTACCACATCTTTTGGACATTATGAGTTTAATCGTATGCCTTTCGGTTCAAAAAATGCTCCTGCAACTTTTCAACGATTAATGGACATCGTTTTATCGGGAATACAAGGACAGGAAGCATTTGTTTACTTGGATGATATTGTAGTATATGCATCATCTCTAGAAGAACACAAACATAAATTCGAAAAATTAATGCAACGACTCAAAGAAGCTAATTTAAAATTACAACCCGATAAATGTCAATTTTTACGCAGAGAAGTCAATTATTTAGGTCATGTGATTAGGAATGGAGGAGTGAAACCGGATCCTAAAAAACTAGAAGCTGTACACGAATTTCCAATACCAAAAACACCAAACAATATTAAACAATTTTTGGGATTAGCGGGGTATTACAGGAGATTTATTCCTGAATTTTCTAAATTATCAAGACCTTTAACACAACTATTAAAAAAGGAAATACCTTTCCAATGGGGATTAGAACAGCAACAATCATTCACAGTACCAAAGAACGAATTATGTAAGGAACCTGTGCTGCAATACCCCGATTTCTCAAAATCATTTATTTTAACAACCGATGCATCCGGTTATGCCATAGGCGGAATTCTATCTCAAGGAGTTATTAATAAGGATCGATCTATAGCTTACGCATCTCGTACCCTGAGAGAGAATGAAATAAAATATGATACTCACGAAAAGGAAGCTTTAGCAATAATATATTGTGTTAAGCATTTTAGACCGTATTTATACGGAAGAAAATTTACTCTAGTAACAGATAATAAACCTCTAATGTGGTTTCAGAATGCTCAGGATGCGAACATGCGAATACTTCGATGGAGATTGAAATTATCTGAGTATGATTATGATGTAGTTTATAAGGCCGGGAAAACTAATGTAAATGCGGATGCATTGTCACGGAATCCTATTGACTCACCTTCAAAGGATTGCAAGATGATAAATACAAGAAGCAAATTAAATCCAAATGATCCAAAGGATGCAGAAATTATCCAACGCCTTCTTGCAGAAGACAGCGACACTGAAGAATCACACGAAGAAGACGGTCACGAAGGACATCTCACAAATGATCACCCACATATCGAGGAATCAACCGAGGAGAACGTTCGCGACACGCATCCTTCCGACGACCGCGCACTGACTGTGGACTCTCTCGAGAATATTTCGCCACTGACCGACGGAGAAACAATGGAATTACCAAAAACACAAACAGTGGAGGCCTTGGTCCATATGCCTGGACCTACGAATATTGAATGCAGGGATTCTGCACAGGGACCTACCGAAGACTCTCGGGCTATTATGACCCGAAGTCGAGCGAAACAGCTGACCCAAACAGCCGAACTATATGAAGAGGTCGTAAAACCGAAGAAACGAAACCTACCGCCGAAACCTCTACCTGAGGACACGGACGAAGAAGATAATGACTGCGAACCACTTGCAACAATTAATACGAAATCACAAAGCAAAGAAAGCAATTTGATAGACTCCAGAGATTTACATTTCCTACGCAAAGATAATTTGCTATATTTTACAGATATTTCAGGGAATCCTGTGGATGATGGAGGAAATAAATTATTCGAAAGACAAGAAATGCCGAAAGTTACAAATCTATCAATAAGCATCGCAAAATTCATAAAAAGAAACAAGAGGTATCACATTATACTACCGATTAGCGAAGATCAGAAGGAAGGCCCAACTATGATATTAAAAAATATAACACAAGCAATAATCAATTTGCGACAGACTGCTGAGAGCATGAATCTCGCAAGTATAAGTGTAGCCAAGAGTGGATATATTCTGAATGTACCATGGAACGATATCAAAACTAAATTTCAGACAGGATTCTTGGATTCAGCCATACGAATAATTATTTGCAAAGGCTTGATCAAATATCCACCAGGAGATATACGCGAAGCAATACTTCAGGAAATGCATTGCACTCCAGTAGGAGGTCACAAAGGAGTAACTAAAACATACAACAGAATTCGTCAGAATTATTATTGGGAAAATCTGAAATCAGATGTCCGACGTCATATTCGACAATGTCTGCAATGCCAGTTAAAGAAATTGGTCCGAGTAAAAACTAAACAACTTATGGTAATAACGGATACTCCAGGATGGACATTCGATAAAATTGCCATGGATATAGTAGGATCATTACCACGTACTAAAAATGGTAACGAATATATTCTCACAATGCAAGATCAACTAACAAGGGACATTCGGCAACGCGGAAATTCAAAAAAATCTGAAACTCTGCATAATTGTAGAGCAGATATACCTAATAACAAAACAATTTTTCGTTGGTGCCCAAAAACGGTTTTAAGGGTGGAAACAACCCCTTGAACAAAGTTGATTTTTGTCTTTCTAAGCGAATATTATCGAAACTATTAAAGATATGAAAAAATGTTTTAGACAAAAGTTTTATGGTTTTAAAAGTACTTTATTATGCTATATTTAGATTTTTAAAATGTAAAATTGTGTATAAAATACCCCCCCTCCTTCTCTTTTTTCAAATTGTTAAAATCAATTGTCCAACCAAAATAAAGCTTATTTTATGACAAATTCAACCATATATAATAACATTATGTTTGGAAAAGGCAATATTGAAAAAAAAATTAAACATGCTCTTATATGTATGCTACGTGTACCAAACTTAAGGATTCGCTACTTGACGATGGCATTTCTTTCTTCCTCAAATCTTGCTCATAATTGCAAACTGTAAAAGATAAGGAAGGAAGAAAATAGAAAATCTAAAAAAGCAATAAAGTTGATGTTAAGAAGTAAGTAGGAGAATAATAGCATGATAAGGATACAGTCACTAATATTTAAAAATGTTATAAATTATAAAATTTCACGTAATAGACGTTTATTTTGCCAACATTGCGGCTACCTTTTTCATTAATTTAAACGACACGCGTAAATATAAATAAATATGTGTGTATGTGTATGTGTGTTTTTGTACGTGCGCACGTATGTGTACATCATGGCAACATGCAAAACACTTGTCACAAGTTTTATGACTGTGCGACCAAAATAGCACTCTTTATCAAGTACAGTGCAATCAAGGTTCATTATATTGACATATGTTATCTTCATTCATTTGCATATAAAAGCTGTCCATTTTGGAATACATTTCAGTGTTATTGAAGCAGTTATTGAAGCAGTACGTATATTATTATTGCTGTGAGAAATGTTTAATTAAAATATCCTTAAGATTTGTATCATAATGTCAGTAATAAATCCAGCTAATGTTATTAATTTGTTAATTGCGACATTTCATTTCACAAATATTGCAATAACTCCTGTTAATCATCAAGAGGTGGAACTCCATGATACAATTACTGATTTAATAAAGAGTGCTATACATCACGATATTACGATCGAACATGAGTGGGGACTTGATTTTGACGATCCATCAGAACCGCTTGACGTACAATTTGTAGATGTCTACGATATTGATGCTGAAGAAGATAATTATGGAAATGAAGTTTGCACTGTGGATGGATGAAGTGGAAATGTAAACTTAAATTATAAGAAAAAGGCAATCGAATTTTGGAAGAGTGGAAAGAAAGGACATTTATCTCTTACTTCTGTACAACATCGTTTTAGAAAAGTAAAGTTTAATTAAAAAATAAGAAGAATAATATATAGTAAAATACTTGAGGCTTTTACGGTGTACAGTGACCGGCAGTGATTCGTTCCGCGACAGAGAGAACTCTATTCCCCTCTCGCGGAACGCATCATTGTCGGTCATTGTACATACAGCTTTGACTATAAGTATAAAGCATCCCAAAAAATTTATTTAAATTGTGTAACAAAAACATACTATAGAATATATGGAGAACATAATATAGTATACGAGTATATGGAAAAATAATATATATAAAAAATATAATATAAGAATATGTGGAAATAATATTTATTTTACAATATTTATTGTAATATAATATAATATAATATAATATAAATTATAATATAAATATAATATACATAAATATAATATACACATTATATTATAAAATATTAATATAATATTTATTGTAAAGAGATTATATATTTACTATGAGTATATGCATTGATTTCTAGGAAAATACAATGAGTTAGAGTGCTTTATACTTATGACCAAGCTGTAAATTATATAGTTAGAGTCGCGTTGTTTTTTATTTTAGTTTTACAATTTGATGTTCGT